TACTATATATATATATATATATATATATATATACGAGAGGGAGAGAGAGAAAGATTACTTAGTATAGGGACCTGAAATTCGATACTTCCAAAAGCCCCTAATATCCCACATTTGGCAGATTAGGGGTCCTATACCCATACTACAAAACCTTTTTTCTTTGTGTATATATTTTATTTATTAAATATTTCTTAACAAAAGTTACTAAATTGTAAAAATTAGAAACATCACAAGTGAGCCTAACAAAATTTCAATAAAATAAACTTTAAGAATTCACAAAGTTCGGCACTCTGTAAAGTATTACAAGCTGTCTTTCTAGCCCTTTGACTACAGCACAGTCTTTAAATTCCTTCATGCACATGTCATAAGCTTTTACTGGGTTACATTCAAAATTTAATTCTGTATGATATACAAGATTCAATGTTTGAAACTTATTTTTTATATTCCATTAAGTGAGTATATTTTCACGTCTCTTTAGTATAAAAAATTAGGAATAGTTTCTAAAACAATGAAACAATCACCTGAAAACATTTAAAAACTATGACGGTAACTGATATATAACAATAACTATCTATGTTAGTTATTTTATACAACTATTATTTCTTCACAACACCCATCATATTATTAACACATGTACTCTCTTCCTTTTACAGCATATGTTAAAATACAATCTACCATTTCATAAATGTACAGTCTTCAAAAGTTTATGTTTGCTCTACAAGAAAGAGTTAATGGACTTCTGCTGTGATTTATTGCTTTTGATGCAAAGATTACAGAAATAAAAGACATAAAAGTGAAAGGAAAAGACATGAAAAAACTTTGATCTTCATTAAGGTGGTTCTAGAAATGTAATGAAAATGAAATGTAAAAACTGTAATATAAAAAGAAGTATTTATATTCTCAGCATGAAAATCCCCTCTCACTCAGACTGACTCAGTAATGACTACAGAAATTCACAGGCAAATCTTTAGTAAAAGTCCTTTATTAAAAAATCTGAATTTTTGTGTACAACAGATCAATAATGTTTACTAAAAGCCCACCAAGTTTTATGAAGACAAACATACTAAATTCAGAATTATAGAAAATATAAGTATCTACAGCTTCACAGATACAGGGTTAGTCAATTTGACCAAGCCCATGAACAGATGGTTAACTGAAAATACTGCTGATATTCTAACCCTTTGACTACAGCACAGTCTTTAAATTCGTTTATGCACATGTCACGAAGTTTTACATCCAAAATTTACTTAAATCACTTTATAAATAAATAATTAAAACTTCAGTTATG